TTATTTAGAAGAAAATTCTTAATTTTAAATAATAATTACACAAACGTTTCAAGCTCTACTTGCTCCTCTTCAGTGCGCAAAAAAAATAGTGATAATAAATAACGATAATAAATAAATACATAAAATTCTAATAAAAAATCCGCAATACATAGTCAATATAAGTTATATAGTTAAGTCATAGTTAAAACGCAAAATATATTTACAATGAATTGAAACCATTAAAATAGTTCAACAAAGTAAGAACCCAATTAGAAGCAGAATGATTCGTCCGGTTATTCATAAATATTTTAGAATTATTAATAAAAACTCGGAGTGACACTTATACATTGCTCCAAACGAACCACTTATCGTTATTTGACGAAAGTCCCTCGATCTGGCAATGATTATGTCCATCCTCTCCAAATTATTTGATATTTGTTAACTGAATTTAGAGAATTTATTCAATTGTAAAATAGGATTCCACTAATGTGTATGTAAAAAAAGATTAAAAATTACAAATTAAACTAAATACTAAAATATTGAACCTTTATGCTTACAAATTGTTCCGAATAACTTGAGATGACGATGCTTCTAATTGTTGTTGGCCTTATTGTTAGTACTTGACTGTTGTCTAGTCTTTTAAAAAGTCGAATAAATAGGTGTCAGATCTCACAAAATAAACATTTACATAAGTCTAAAAATTCGATATTTCTTCTAGAATGTCGAAATACGCGTTGTTAAGCAATTCGGTGTCTGTGTTATTATTTATACCATGCCTTTGTTCCTTGATGTGTATCATTTCCGAGATAAGTCTTTTATAATAATTAGATTCAATATCAAGTATTTTAACGTTATCCCAATCAAAAGCATGTTTTTTATCTATAATATGTTCAGAGACCACAGAATGCTTGGAGGAATCAAATTTAATATTATTCATATGCTCTTTTAGTCTAGTGCGTAATTTTCTTTTGGTTTGCCCAACATACGAAGCTTCACAATCCTTACAATTAATTTTGTAGACAACATTATTATTATTCAGAAATAAATATTTTTATCGGCTCTCAATATAAATAATATAAGTATGCCGTCTTCTAAGCTGGGCAATAGAGCCAAGGAAACGAAACGAAAAATTAATTAAACGGAACTGTATCTCAATTTGAGATCCCAAAGTTCCACATATAAATTAATTTCGAAACTTACATATGGAGAATCATACATCTTTTTTATGATAGAATAGGTGCTATTGTCTTCAAGTAAACCTTCCATCTTATTCGTGTAATATTCTTTTGTCATCGCGACTGTTACGTTGCCCTTATCAGCCCTTGTAAAAAGAATATCCGGATTATCATGGCAAAACCTCCTTGTATATTTATGCATACTAATCAAATCTTCATGAGTTGAATTAAACTTAGTTTTGCCGTGTAAAAAATAGGAAAGTTGTGGAACCAGATTGTTACGTAATGTATTTAAATTTTCATGTTAGAACTAGTGGAATTCCCTTCTATATCTTTGATAAACTCCAAGCATTCTGTGGTCTCTGAACATATTATAGATAAAAAACATGCTTTTGATTGGGATAACGTTAAAATACTTGATATTGAATCTAATTATTATAAAAGACTTATCTCGGAAATGATACACATCAAGGAACAAAGGCATGGTATAAATAATAACACAGACACCGAATTGCTTAACAACGCGTATTTCGACATTCTAGAAGAAATATCGAATTTTTAGACTTATGTAAATGTTTATTTTGTGAGATCTGACACCTATTTATTCGACTTTTTAAAAGACTAGACAACAGTCAAGTACTAACAATAAGGCCAACAACAATTAGAAGCATCGTCATCTCAAGTTATTCGGAACAATTTGTAAGCATAAAGGTTCAATATTTTAGTATTTAGTTTAATTTGTAATTTTTAATCTTTTTTTACATACACATTAGTGGAATCCTATTTTACAATTGAATAAATTCTCTAAATTCAGTTAACAAATATCAAATAATTTGGAGAGGATAGACATAATCATTGCCAGATCGAGGGACTTTCGTCAAATAACGATAAGTGGTTCGTTTGGAGCAATGTATAAGTGTCACTCCGAGTTTTTATTAATAATTCTAAAATATTTTATGAATAACCGGACGAATCATTCTGCTTTTAATTGGGTTCTTACTTTGTTGAACTATTTTAATGGTTTCAATTCATTGTAAATATATTTTGCGTTTTAACTATGACTTAACTATATAACTTATATTGACTATGTATTGCGGATTTTTTATTAGAATTTTATGTATTTATTTATTATCGTTATTTATTATCACTATTTTTTTTTGCGCACTGAAGAGGAGCAAGTAGAGCTCGAAACGTTTGTGTAATTATTATTTCAAATTAAGAATTTTCTTCTAAATAATAAAATAATATCGTATTGCTCGTTACACATGGCCTTAATTTAATAATTTATCATTGTTTTTATTGTCATACGAGCTTGAGCATTGGTATGTGATGGTTTGATTAGGTATTAATTTTGAATATTCAGATGTTTATACATGGTCCCATCGATCAAGTCATTGTCTTGCCAAGATTTAATCAAGGAATTAATTTTCAAACTTACTTTTTTCTAGGATCTTTTTCCAGTTTATCATAAGTAGATCGATCATTAAGTAACAAATTCATTTTACTAAAATAATTATTCGTGTCCATAATCACGGTAGCCTGACCTTTATCAGCCCTTGTGACCAATATGTCCATATTACACGACAAAAACTTTTAACATTCTCCATAACATTGTTTGGAAGGTTTTTGCAACTGAGGTTTACAAGCCACTTTGACCGATCAATTCTTTTTAACGGATTTGGAGAAATGTATTTCATACTATTAAACCGTTGAACTTATTAATAGACTAGGTTTTCATTACATGGTTAAATGTTACCAATTTACGCTTATTAAAACCGAAAATCTTAACAACAAATCATGTGGGACCTGATCATACAGTCTTTTTTCGATATTATCTAATAATGACCGAAAATACTTCAAGTTAATATTCAAATCTTTAATCTTCAAGTTCAACAGTCTAAATCCATTCCGTCTCACAATTAAGCCATATTTATGATTGATAACATTACTATAAGAAAGAATGTTTATTCTTGAGTAATTTATGAGGTGGTAAAATCTCATATCTTTTTCACCGAAGTAAGAAAATTAACTGTTGTTTCAATGTAATTATCCTCTTTTTGTTGCTAGCCATGCTTTCAAGAGAGACGTGTACTGTTAAAGATAGTAAGTTATTGATCTCACTTGATGTTAAATTATTATTCACGAATATCCTGAAGGATCTTGTCCTTGATTCTATTAAAAAAAGATGGAGTGAAATTTCATGGTTAAATTGCTGAGTCATCCAATTTATGGAAAATATTTCATGGTATGTATCCGTTAATATTTTAAATATGTACTATTTTCTAATCACCCGTTACATATTTTTAATTATTATTTTTATATTTTCATGTCACATGCAGAAATATGATTCGGATTTTCATTATCACTTTAATGCCGATGGTTTCTTAAAACGATTGATTGAATGCCAAGGATTTAAAATTAAGTACTACCATTTTAGAGAGGAAGTAATATATCAATCTGATTATATTTTACGTAAGTATTTTTATTTTTCACAGTACATATAATAATTGTAAATGATAAGATCTTATTTAGAAAATTAAATTTTTTAAAAATAAAGCTATTTAATTGATGTGTGATGAAAAGATCACTAACATAATTACCCTTTTATGTGCAAATCTTTCAGATGAGAATTTATTTATTTCAGCGAATAGCATCTTTGAGCTTCCTTTCATACATGAACTGACACCTGAACAACAAAACGACCTTAAGAACATATTAAAAGAGAAATGGAAAAAAATGGAAAAAATGTTTCATCGAGCTTCATATCGAGTTTCATATTCCAATGACCCAGAATATGGCTCAGAATGTAACGATTTATTCGATATTGTACAAGCATTACATATAAATCGTAATACCTATTAGATTTTTTAGAATGATAGAGTTAATTAACTATTCTATCTATTTATAATATAAAACATATTGTTTATGTATTTATAATGTAATATATATTTATATGTATGAGCAATATTTTTATGTGTATAACAAATGTAATTGTACGTATACTGTTTGGAGTTTGACAAGTAAAAGTTATCGCATATCGATCAATCTTATATTTCGGCATAAGTTTTCGATCATTGTATTTATATATCACGCCTTTGTATAGCCAATTATTTCAGCGTGACAAATATATTATTTTCGAGTCTCGTATTGTTACGATGCCGCGACCGTGACATTCCTTGTTGTTTTTCGCTGCCGATCAGCTGGCGATCAGCTACCGATCAGCTGATTCGCACTCAAATAAACATACCTTGCTCCCCGTTTTTCACCCTTACGACGGGGAATTCTTGTCTCTCGACACCTCGTCAACGGCAGTTGAGCTGAGCTCTCTGATCAAGCAAGGTTGTCGCGCGAAGGCTATGTGTCTCGGATTCAGGTTTTGTCTCCATCTCAATTGTGTGTTTCTCAAATAAACTCTTAATAGATCAAATCAGTTTGTCATCTTTCTTAAGCAGTGATATTTTATCTTTCCTCTATCCTATCGTTCGGTTAATTTTGATGTCTCCAGTGAAAACGTGGATTTTCATACAGTTCATGTGCGAATCGCGGGATCTTTGAAAACCTCTAACTATCTCGCGTAAACATTGCTGGTCCTTCGAGCCGGATCTTCGGAATTCGCGAATTAAGTGAATTCTCGTAACCGAAATTACCGAACGTCGCGAGTGTGAAATATCGTGCTTATTGTCTCGTTGCTGTCACACCAGCGGTTCTCAGCAGTCGGCTGCGGAATTACGATTGTGCGTGAGTCTTGCGTAAGTGCGGTTGCCGCTTTCGACGTGCGTTCTCAAATAAGTGCATTTTCGCACGTGCTGTGTTCTCTCCAGTCAAGTTAGTCCGACTCAATCGAAGATGGCAACAATCGAAAACACCATTGCTCGCCAGAATGAATTGTTCGGTCTGATTTCCCGCGCAGTCGAAAATCTTCATAAACTCGGACCGACAAAAACAACTCGTGGAGCAGTGCAAAGTCGCGTGAGCGCACTCAAGGCTAATTGGGAGAAATTCCAGGGTCTTCATGATAGCTTGTGCAAAGTGCGGAGCCCCGACATTGCAAAGCTGCCGTATTTCGCTGACGACCTCTATGCATTGTGCGAAGAGAAATACATCGATGCGAATGGCATCATGCTTGACATGTTAGATGAGCTCGTACCGGAAAGAAGTGCGTCCGCGACCGAGGCCTCAATGACAACGTCTACCGCATCTCATTCTCGACGACTGCCTCGTATCGACATACCAAAATTCTCAGGTGATTACGCTCAATGGAGTCATTATCGAGATTTGTTTACGTCCATGATCATGGAAAATAATGATATATCGGCTGTCGAGAAACTACATTATTTAAAAATGAGCTTGACAGGGGAGCCATCGCAACTCTTGAAAAATGTGACTATCTCTAGTGAAAATCTCAACCGCTCCTGGAAAATGCTCATTGCTCGCTACGAAAATAAGCGAATACTAATTGATGCTCAATTGTCAGCGTTATTCGCAATTCGCAAACTTAAAACCGAGTCATCATCGGAACTCAAGCGACTTCTCGGCGACGTTAAGGAAATCCTCGGTGGTCTCGAAGCTCTCGACTGTCCGGTGCGCCAGTGGGATCATCTTATCGTTTTTATGACTGTGCGCAATCTCGATTCCGAATCAATGAAGGATTGGGAAAAAACACTCGGTGCGACAACTACCGCGCCTTCCTTCGCCGACTTAGAAACCTTTCTCGTTGGACGCGTGCATACTCTCGAAGCTATTGAAAGATCCACGATCTCACGTAAACATCCAGCGACAAATATGACACGACCTCAACTAAACGCAAGATCATACGCTGCCACCACCGCCGAACAGCAGTGTGCGTTGTGCAATTCAAGCCATTATATTTCGGCGTGTCCGAAATATCTTGAGAAGACTCCCGCTCAACGCCGCGAGACAATTTCATCGAAAAACCTCTGTTATAACTGTCTCGGTCCTCATCATCTGAAAAGCTGTCGTAATGCAAAGCGCTGTCGTATCTGTCGCAAGCAACATCACTCAACGCTACATCTCTCATCAAACGAACCGGTAGCCGCGATAACAACGATGTCGCCGATTGCCTCAATTCCGTCGACCTCGCACATAGGACTCACCTCCACGCATCTCGCGCAAGCCGACGGACAAGAATCAACGCTTCAAGCATGCAGTCATGTGACTCAATCGCGTATAATTCGAAGTACGTCCGTACTGCTCGCGACCGCTCTCGTTACCGTCGTATCACCATACGGCGAACATTATCAAGTACGCGCGTTGCTTGATCAAGGATCGGAGGCATCATTTATCTCCGAATCCGTCGCACAAATCTTAAGACTCTCACGCACTTCAGCTGCAATTCCAATTATCGGGATCGGTGCTCAGCGATCCAGTGTCTCCAATGGACGTGTCTCTTTTGAAATTATCTCACGCGTCAATTCGGCATTCTCTCTAAAAATCGAAGCTCTTGTGTTGCCGAAACTCACCTCTTATCTGCCACCTGCAGTTATTGTGAATGCTCAGTGGCCTCATATCCATGGATTGGCGCTTGCAGATCCAAACTTTGCAACGCCAGGAAAAATTGATCTCGTTCTCGGCGCAGGTGTTTGTGCGCAAATTCTCGAAGACGGCATTTGCCGAGGAGCTAGCGGTACGCCAATCGCTCAGAAAACCACTCTCGGCTGGATACTCTCCGGACAACTCTACTCTGAGCATGATCACACCTCAACAGAACAATCAATTAATGGATTGCACTGCTCTCTTGATGGTGAACTCCTCGATCTGCTCCAAAGATTCTGGGCCCAGGAAGAAATCACGCCTGTGCATAACGTGACGCTCACCCCAGAAGAATCTCAGTGTGAAGAACACTTCAAGACAACGCATTCTCGTGACGCGCATGGACGCTTTATCGTTCGGTTACCGCTCCGAAAAACTGTAAGTGACTTGGGTGATTCTCGCGCTCCAGCACTCAGGATGCTCCGACGTATGGAAGCGCGCTTCGAAACGCACGCTTCTCTCAAGGTAGCCTATAAGGAGTTCCTACGTGAGTATCTTGAACTTGGTCATATGCGTCTCTCAAGTTCTCATGATATTTCGCGACGCGAATTCTTTCTGCCGCATCACGGCGTCATTAAAGAAACAAGCTCGACCACGAAATTACGCGTCGTGTTTAATGGATCGCAGAAAACAAATCTCGGAATATCATTAAACGACTGCTTGCATATCGGCCCGAAATTGCAGACGGATCTCGTTGACATTCTCGTTCGCTGGCGTCGACATCGCTACGTGTTCGCGACCGATATAGAAAAAATGTATCGACAAATTCGCGTACATCCAGACGATTGGCCACTTCAGACGATTTTCTGGAGAGACTCTCCGTGTGAACGGCCGCGAGAATATCTCTTATGTACCGTGACATACGGTCTAGCTTGCGCGCCATATCTTGCACTTCGCTGTCTGCAACAGCTCGCAACCGACATTGAATCCACACGCGGACTGGCTGCCGAAATTCTACGCCGCGATACATACGTGGACGACATTTTATCCGGGTCAGATGACATCTCTACAACGAAAGAAAAGATGCAGCAGCTTAAGGATACTCTCACGGCGGGTGGCTTCAATCCGAAGAAGTGGATTACAAACGCTTCGGAATTGCTCCAAGGTATTCCCGTGTGCGATCAGGATCCTTCCGCGATCCTACCCGTCGGCGACTCCACGACGCATTATACTCTCGGAATTCGTTGGAGCCGATCAAGTGACAGTTTCGTGTTTGTTGCCCCTTCGTTTCCGCGCTCAGACAAAACGTTCACTAAACGCTCGGTACTCTCGTTTATCGCGCGGATTTTCGATCCTCTCGGCTGGATCGCACCGATTATAATCACGGCCAAGCGATTCATGCAACAACTGTGGGCAATACGTCTCGACTGGGATGACGAATTACCATGTTCTCTCAAATCTCAGTGGATCGAATTCATGCAGCAATTCGAACAGGTGTCGGCTATTGTGATTCCGCGTTGGTTCGGCACCAGCTCAACGGCTCTCGGAACCGAATTGCATGGTTTCTCGGACGCCTCTCAACATGCAATTGCCGCAGTTATCTATCTCCGTGTCGTGACTCCCACCGGCATTCATGTGACTCTCGTTAGTGCAAAGACAAAAGTGACTCCGCTTAAACGCGTAACAATTCCGCGACTCGAATTATCAGCTGCCGTACTCCTCGTGAAACAGCTTCTCAAAATACGCGAAGTTCTCGATTTAACTCAAACGCCAGCGCATCTCTGGACGGACTCCACCGTCGCGTTAACATGGATCAAAAGCCATCCATCGAGATGGAAAGAATTCGTGCGAAATCGTGTCGTGTTCATACAAGAGCTCTCAAACTCTCGGTGGCATCACGTCTCAGGGAAAGAGAATCCTGCTGACGTGGCGTCTCGCGGAACATCGCCTCAACTTCTCCAGCAAGATCAGTCGTGGTGGCATGGACCTCTGTGGCTACAGCAATTCTCGACCGCGTGGCCAGTCTCAAAGCTCTCGCTCGATTCCAACGCACATCTTGAAGAACGAGCTCGTAATTGCGCCATCGCGATCGTGATTCCAGAGCCAGATATGTGGGATCTCATAAAACGATACTCATCTTTCACTCGACTGACCCGCATTACCGCCTGGATTCTACGTGCGATCCAACGCTTCCGACCTTCAAGGACTGTGCCTGTATCGCAAGACCCTCTTACTGCAGGGGAGCTAGAATTGTCAGTCCTTCTTTGGGTCGAATTAACGCAACATGCTTATTTCTCAACGGAAATTCGACTCCTACGAGGAGGTAAGCAGCTGCCGAAAACCAGCGCACTGTTCCGTCTCACTCCGTTTCTCGATACTAAAGGGCACCTCCGACTACAAGGACGCCTTCAATTGTCTCAGCTGGATCCGGCGGAAAAACATCCATTGATTTTACCTCGCAGTTCTCGATTGACGGACCTCATAATGGATTATTACCATAAACAGACGTTACATGGCGGACCACAACTCATGCTCTCGGTTATACGCCGCAAATTTTGGATTCTCGGGGGTCGCCTGCCGGTTCGCTCATTTATTCATCGATGTGTAACCTGTACACGTCAACGAGCAGTTACCGGGCTTCAACAAATGGGACAGCTTCCGGCCTCTCGTGCAACTCCATGTCGACCTTTCTATCATACCGGGGTCGATTATGCCGGACCTCTAACACTCAAGACCTTTCGCGGACGAGGTGCAAAAACTTACAAAGGATACTTTGTAATCTTTATCTGCTTCAGCACCTCAGCTATGCATCTCGAGGTGGCGACAGATTATTCGACCGACGGATTCATCGCCGCCTACAAACGGTTCACGGGCCGCAGAGGGATTTGCTCCACAATCACAAGCGACTGCGGCACCAATCTCATAGGAGCGGATTCCGAATTAAGGCGACTGTTCAAGGCCTCAACGACAGAATGGACTCACATCGCCTCCCAGCTCGCCAACGATGGAGTTACGTGGAAGTTTAATCCACCCTCGGCCCCTCACTTCGGTGGAAAGTGGGAAGCTGGAGTGAAATCGGTCAAATTCCACCTCAGGCGAGTCATAGGTGACACGCTGCTCACCTATGAAGAGATGAACACGCTCTTAATTCAGATCGAGGCGGTTCTCAACTCTCGCCCTCTAAGCGCTCTCTCGGATGACCCAACGGATGTTTCAGCGCTCACGCCAGGGCATTTTCTAATCGGATCAGCGCTCACCACTGTACCGGAGCCCTCTCTGGGTGATGTCCCAGCATCTCGGCTGTCGCGCTGGCAGCTACTCCGCCAGATGACGGAGTCATTCTGGAAGCGTTGGACTGCAGAATATCTGTCCCAGTTTCAGGTCTCCTCTAAGCGGCACCAAGCGCAAAATTCATTTCAGGTTGGGTCTTTAGTTCTCATCAAGGACGAACGGATGCCTCCTACCAAATGGCCTCTCGCACGCATCATTGACGTGCATCACGGGCCTGACGGACTTATCAGAGTCGTCAGTGTGAAGACGGCCAACACTACGCTCAAAAGACCAATTGTCAAATTGTGCCTGCTGCCGGATCCAAATAAAACATAGACATTTTCGCGATAGATTCACGTTCCATAAATATTGTCAACGCGGAGTTGCCAAGGCGGGCGGAATGTTTGGAGTTTGACAAGTAAAAGTTATCGCATATCGATCAATCTTATATTTCGGCATAAGTTTTCGATCATTGTATTTATATATCACGCCTTTGTATAGCCAATTATTTCAGCGTGACAAATATATTATTTTCGAGTCTCGTATTGTTACGATGCCGCGACCGTGACATTCTTGTTGTTTTTCGCTGCCGATCAGCTGGCGATCAGCTACCGATCAGCTGATTCGCACTCAAATAAACATACCTTGCTCCCCGTTTTTCACCCTTACGACGGGGAATTCTTGTCTCTCGACACCTCGTCAACGGCAGTTGAGCTGAGCTCTCTGATCAAGCAAGGTTGTCGCGCGAAGGCTATATGTCTCGGATTCAGTTTTTGTCTCCATCTCAATTGTGTGTTTCTCAAATAAACTCTTAAAAGATCAAATCAGTTTGTCATCTTTCTTAAGCAGTGATATTTTATCTTTCCTCTATCCTATCGTTCGGTTAATTTTGATGTCTCCAGTGAAAACGTGGATTTTCATACAGTTCATGTGCGAATCCCGGGATCTTTGAAAACCTCTAACTATCTCGCGTAAACATTGCTGTATACAGTACATCATATGTTCTGATAATATATTTATGATTGTATATGTTATAATAAATTTTTAATAATTGTAATTTTTTTATAATAAAACATATAATTTATATTTAAAACAAATATAATTGTATTGATCACCAAAGTCAATCTTAAATTATATTATCTACATTTAATTATATGATTTATATAAAATTTATCAATAGAATAGAGTAAAATGTAAAATTTTTAAAACTGATAGACTCCTCACTTTTGTATACTAATGTATGCGATTTTTTATCTTAAAAAATACTAGCGAAAATACTTTGAAATCTGCTCAATGTTATATCTATAAATTTAGCATTAAAAGATCTTAAAAATAATTTCCAACTTTATCATATAAG